TAAACATCTGATAGCTGAAATTATCTAGATGATAAAGGTAAAAATGAATATAAGTGGGGGTGGGCGGCACTTCTCAGTTTTTGCCCCACCTAAAAAACATTAAAGATCCGGGGCAGCTACTATTTCACAAAATTTCCGATACTCCGCGGCAGAAGAAAAATCTTTCAGTACATTGAAGATTATGATAAATTATTTAAGAAAGAGCATTGGACAAGATCGCCTTCGACATTTAACATTAATTGCAAAAAGCAGTATCAAACTTAGGTTTGAGTGAAATTATAGACGAATTTTTGGTAAATGTAAATAACTTTAACTCCGGCGTGATTCAATTGAAATAAATTTTAAACGATAGAGAGGGATCAGTAATGAATTTATCAACAAGCAGAATTTGGCGGTCGCTTGTAGTTTTCGAAAAAATAAATAATGAAATAGTGTGATTTTTACTATAGAAATCCGCCATTTTTTTATTGTCAATATGTTCAGCTGGTATTTCTTGGTGGTCATAAAAAAAAACCTAACATCGAAGGTTCTAACCTTCTAACCTAATCTATCCGAGTCGGTTCTGTGACTCATTAAATTAAAAAAAAATCGGAATATCGATACGTGTATGATGTCGCCCGCTTCCTATATTTATCACGTTGGCAAAACTGTGTATTGAGTTTTTGAAGTCAAACAAATAAAATGGTGAATTTCTTAGTACAAAAAACAAGTTTTAAACATTTTTTTCTCGAAAACTATAAGCGACCGCCGAATTCTGCTTTTTGATAAATTCATAAGTGATTTTTCTCTATCGTTTAAAATTTATTTGATTTGAATTACGCCGGAGTTAAAGTTATTTACATTTACCGAATTTATTTGTCCGTTTATTGATGTCATCTGTATAAAATTTAAATTTTTATAGTGATAATCTTTGGACGTTTAGCTATGCCACTGCCCACGTCGAAGCCAATACCTTGACAACTACGCCAAGGAGTGTTTAATTGAGTGGTATTCGCGGAATAGACACAATTTCGCCTGAGCCCAATACTAAAAAGACAAGTGATTAATGGACCGCCCTTTTAAGAAACTGAAAATAGAACCCGCCATTGCACAAATTTACACCGACTTTAAGTTAACGCCACTTGCAGTAAGCGAACTTAAAAAAACTCAAACTCAACCGGGTAAAGACGTTCATAACAGATGACATCCACCTTCGCAAGTAGGTTAACACGCAGTACTGCATCGTAGGCGATGTTCCACAGTAACGGGCCTAGTACGGACCCCTGTGGAACAATACGCTAGATCTCCCTCCGGATGTTCCTGCCATCCGCGTATGAAATTGACCTGTCACGTCCACGATAACGGCTTGCAAGTAGAGGGGCATTTGATGATGTGTAGTCTCCCCTTGATTGCATCCCTTGGAATGTAATTAAATGCATTCACTATATCTAAACTTGTCGCCAATGCAATCCCACCCCGGGAGACCACTTGCTCAGATAGGGAGCGAACGCGCATTATAGCGTCTATAGTTGAACACTCCTGTCTGAAACCAAATTCGTTTCTTGCGAGATCAGGACCGACGCGTGACAGATTCCTGTTAAGACGAGCGGCAGTATACTCTCGAAAAGCTTGCCCATCTCGTCCAAGAGGCATATTGGACGGTACGCAGAGGGAGATTCTGCAGCCCGGCCTTCATTCTTCAGAAGGACTAATTTAGCTTCCTTCTAGGACGTAGGGAACTTGGAATAACGGAGGCAGCTGGTAAACCGACTCAACCTTTCCCCTAAGATATTTAGAGTCAAGACCCACACCCGCCCATGCTCTCCGTCAGGTCCTGAAGTCGTTAAGTAGACCTAATAGCACTTCACTCGCCTTCGATAACTTCGAAAAAGCCCAATGCATTGTGCACAGCTTAGAGACTATGTATGCCATCTTTCGATCTAGTACGACATCTGTCGGAAAGAGATCGCGTTATCGAACTTAGGGATGCATTACCACCAGCAAGAAAGCAGTTTAAACACTAGGTTTAGTCTGCTTTCCTTCCGGATTCCGCGGAATAGTTCAAAGATACAATTAAAGAATAACAGACTAGCTCCGCTCCAGTTCCTGACAACGTTTGGCAATAAAGTCTTAAAAGCCTTCCCAGGCCCGCTTCTCTCCTGCTACTCCTACCGTGATACCTGGAAAAAGCCATAAAAGTAGTTATCGGTATTCGTAAACCGAACGAACCAAGCGACCAATACCCGCAGTGCAAAAGCTTGTAATACAAGCTTCCGTTTAATTTTTTACCTATAATTTCCTACGCTTGCATTTCTTTTGCCCACGTCCGGCCTTTACAAATTTCAGGCTTAAAATAAGTTCAGACGCCTCAATAACGTTGTTAAGAGAGATTAGCCTACCAGCATAATTATGAAGGTATAGTGTTTGTAGAGATCGAATGTTACGCGAACACTTACGAGTTAACCTAACGGTTCATCGAAAGAGCCGAAAACCATCCCATCTCTTAAGGTAAAAATGTGGGGAATTACTAACCCAACATAAACGTTAGAAAACATAGACCATATCTTCAATGTATTAGTACTATCTAACACACATAACCAATTAGTTCGTCCTCGCCTAGGAGCATGGCGAAACCAATACAGAGCCAACGATTGATACACTCTGCTGCTTTTTGGGACACGGTCCGTAACCAAACCTCGATGGCCCGTAGTTGACATTAATTCCCTAAGATAACTAAACGTATGAGCACATGTGCGGCCGTCCCAACGCGAAGGGTCGTATCAAACTCGTGAGATTTGTTAATCTCACGAGATGATTCTTTACAGTCCATTTTTTGCTCGCTTGGCAACATGTGACAAGTTGCCAAGCGAGTAGGTAGTTCACCTGATGTTAAGTGAATACCGCCGCCCATGGACAACTACTACACCAGGGTTGCAGATGCGTTGACCTTTTGAAAATTGGGCTCCGGCTACCTCACTCACCAGATGAAACGCGAAAGTATTATACTTCCACTTTACGAGCCTGCCCATTAGTGCAACAGCCGAGGCTGCTGCGTGGCGCTACCACAGTAAAAGTCTATGGTCTGAATGGAAACATCAGTCAAAATAAAGTAAGACTGAACTATAATATAATACTACTACTTCATCGCAATCTTCAGAGTCCGCCTTTTCATGTAACGGCAGAAGTAGCATTACCCTGCCATAGCAAATAAGTCTGTATAGCAAGGGGAACATAAGTCTTCCCTTGAGAAATCTGCTTGATGAAGCCCTATACTAAGGGAAAAAAACTAAAAAACCTCGTTTTCAGCTCTATGTAATAATCATTGTATTGCGGGGGTTTAACAAACATGAATCTAGTCTTTTGGATCACATAAAATTATTCATGTAAGATCGAACCCACAGATTGGCGCGGTAAGAGCAGCTGTTGATCAGACACAAGAACCGATAGCTTGTGGTACATCGACTAATGTAATGGATATTGTAATGTAATTTGAATAAAAACTTTGTGCTATCTGGCTTATTATTCTTTGGTCTTTACTAGATCGATTGTTTTTTTTTTTATATATACTAGGTACATGTGTGAAAATATAAGATAAAGCTATAAAACTTTTAGAATCGCCTACATGGACAAATTTATCTTAACATAAATATGCCAACAAAGAACTCTCACAAATGACTGAATGAATGAATTTATTCGACTCACGAATGAATGAATTTATTCGATTTATATTTAAATAAAAAGATGCTTTCTTTTTTAACGATTTATTAAAGCGATTATAAAAACTTTCGCTCTGACTAGAAAAATCCAATAGGCAAAAACAAGCTACAAAATAATGCTTTGCAACTGATACACTATTTCATTTTTGCTATTAAAAAATAACTATTTAGACATTTTCTTTTATATTTTATGTCCCCATAAAAAGAAAAAAACACATTCTTTAGTTCACAGAAATCAATAACTAATGTTATTACATGCACTAAGTCATTACTTATATGTATACAAAATTGCAACAAAAGTTTATCACTGCAATTTATAGCCAAATTGAATTAATTATGAAAAATTTTGTGAACATTTCTTATAAATTTACCATGTAACATTACAGATATTAAAAGCCTCCTGTTATGGCTTTTTTCAATGCTGTAATTAATTGCTCTATTACTTATTACAATATTGCACATATCAACAGGATAAAATTGTATGGGCCAACATGAACTGTTGTGTCATTTACTTCTATGTATTGCTACTTTTCTCATAAGAATAGCCTTCCAAAATAAGATATTAGATAAACAATGTCGGATTGTAACAATGGAATACCTACTTATCCTATTATAATACTGCTAATCATAAAATTGTTCTTGTGTGAAAGACAATATTTTGTAGAACTTCTTAATTTGACACTTATTTACAATTTGTACATACAATTCATGATATTGTTAAAAGTTGCTTAGCATGAATTATAAAACCATTTTAACATGACTTGGTGTCTTTGTCGCTTTGTTAACTTTGTGACATTGTTAGAAGTTCCCCTAAAAAGCTACTATTCATTGAGTTCATTTGAAAAAACTACTTATCCAGACGAATCTATTTTAACAGGAATGCATTTCAAAACAAATAAAAAAATGACAAAAACTACACAAATTTACAACCCAAGATTTATGTTTAAGAAAACATATTAATCAAAACATTTACCTAATAAAATTAAATGAATTGGTCAATGTGATAAAATTTGTTTTCAATTTTATTTTGAGCAAAGCCATAATTTTTATTTCATACTTGTCATTTAACAAGAACAGTACATCACAAAATCTTTGGCTCCACATAAAACATAGGAAAACACTATCAAATAATAATAAAAAAATAGTCTGAGTGCACATAACATTAAAACTGGACAATAATTTCTCAGTGTATATATATCTATGTCACATAAATGAAATTAAAGAACTGATCCTATGGATCTAATTCCATCTGTAGGTTTCATTACCAGCAACCTAAATAATAAAAATTGTATAGTATACTGTCTATCCTAGTTGTACACCTTGTATCCATGTGTTTAAATCTGCTGTGCTTGGACAATCCAAGGCATTTTCTGGGGCATCATCTGAAGCTAGAAGTCGACGTGCTGCTGATTGGCCTGATAAGTAGGCACCGTGAACAGTAGAATAAAAACTACTATGAGTGTGCTCTCCAGCAAAAAGCAATGCAGGCTGTAAAATATAGACATGTTGACGAATGAAATAAGAAATGCAGATTACTAAATTTTTTGATAAATATGACAAAAAAATTTCAATTAATGTTTTACAATGATAATTCGAACAAGAGGATTCCTTTGCTATTGAAATTTAAATTTCATATTGAGTCTTTTGAGATTGCTTGGTGACTAGTGGGCCTGTCACATGTTGAGTCTGGTTGGAGCTGGAAGAGTATAATTTTGAAATAGAGTTTGCGGTCAGGATGGAGGTAAATCCAATAGGAATGGCCAAAAGTGGCTAGATGCCAAATACAAGACTGGATATGTGCAAAGGCACTGGGGGGAATGGGCATGTCCAGTAGTGGAGGCAAAAATAATACTGATAGAATTTAAATATGCATATCCAATATTGTTATACTGATTTTTGTTGTTTGGTAGAGCAGACATTCAATACTGATAAAATTGTACAAAAAAAGGAATAGCTTAGATAAAAATCACAATCTTATCATTTGGATGCAGTATTTTTAAAACCATTACAAAACATCCTATCACAGAGAGAACATTAAGTTAATGCTAAACGAATATTTTCACCAATTTTATTTCTATTTATATTAGTATGTATTTGTTTCTAATGGTATATCGTTTAGAAAATATAATTTTTACCTTTTTATCATGAACATTCTTAAACAATGGTTGTGCTAAACTTTCAATATCACTTTGACTAGCACCAACAGCTATAGCTGTATAGGAACCTCTTGTGTATGGTTGCTTTTTCCAACTTGTGCTAAAAATATTTTTAATTAAATTATTTATATTAAATGCATTAATTAAAAGATTTATTGGTAAGATATAATAAAATAAAGAATGCTTACCAAATACACTTTTGTGGTTCTGGTACAAAAGGATCATTTAAGAACTTACGCAATATTTTTGTGCATGTAAGAGCTACTTCATCCATAGAGAGTGTTTCCATATACTCAGCTTCTTTACCAGATATCCAACCTAACAATAATGTTTCTGTCACTTTGCTAAAAGAGTATATTTTCTTATACCATGACTGTGACAAGTCTTCAGGACTCTGTGGACTTTCCCAAAGAAGCATAATTTCGGTTATATCTGGGTTCAAAAAAGGCCGTTCATACTCCAAAAATATTTTATCAACAGCACTAAAAAGTAACCTCTCTATAGATTCCATTTTGTATTGGGGTAGTGTAGGTTCAAATAATGTACTTGCATGTTCTTTTAAAACACCTAAAGGAATTGTACATATAACATGATTTGCATAGAAACTCTGGCCATTTTCACATACAACTTCTATACTATGCAATAGCTTTTTATTTTGCTTTTGGGAAAAATCAGCAGTTTGTCCAGAATTGTCAGGACTGTTTGTTTTATCTGATGGGGCCCTTGAAACATCTTCAATTACTGTCTGATCAGAATCTTCAGATTCTTCACCCATATCATCAAGATGCTTAGAAAAGCCAAACTGCTCAGAATCCCAAATAACTTTTTTCACAGCATAATTTGTTAGTATTTTATCAGGGTTAATATATTTCGTCATTGGTTCTAAAATAGTACTATAACCAGATGGGATCATAATATTTCCACCTTGTAGTTCTGTGTAGCTACCTAATTCTAAGAGATCAATTTCATCCATTGAATTACATCCTGATATACAAGTTTCACGTTTGAGGAGGCAATCAAATATTAATCGTCTCAATTTCTTCTCCTCTGACGATGGAAGGCGTTCTAGGTAAATAGTGGCTTCTAAATTTATGTGTTCCCCTACACTGTGAATGTCGGGTGGTGGTAAGTATTGACACAAAAAATACTCTTCACAACGCCGTAAGAAACATACATATGCCTCGTGTATTTCCTGTAAAACACCAAAAGGGACTTGTTTCCCGTCTTCAGTCGCCGCTATAACCTTATGTGGTTTAGGTATGTTTATAATGTTTACAAGACCGTTAGCGGTAGCAATTTCAAAAATAGGATTTCCCAATACACCATGAATCCAGTTCGCTCCTAATTCTACATTGTGATTTTTCATAGGTATTGAAATTATCCTTCCGCCAATATGTTTTCTTGCTTCTATTATAATAAAGTCTTCCATGCCATTTTTAACGAAATAATTTGCAGCAGCAAGACCAGCTATACCACCACCGATTATTATAACATTACACCTACGTGCTTCACATTTTTTAGCAGAACTTAATTCTTCGTCGCCCATAATATTGAAATATAAATTCCAATAAAATTTCGTCACTGAGTTTTTGACGCTCAGCTGTTAACTGTATGTATTATGCTATTATGTGTTGTCGGTTGTCTACTTTTTGGTCATTCACAAATGACAAATAAGCATTAGACATTTGTAATAATCTGTGTAATAATAAAGCTCCATACATAATATCGGACATCTGACATCATATTATTTAAATTTACTGTCGCATCAGATATCCAAAGTTTGAAAACAGTATTTTATATTTGACCAGTAATATCATAGCCTGATTTGATTAACTGGGGTGTCTGGAAAATTGCGGTCTCATTGAAAGGTCAGCTATATGGGCATTTGTATAAAGACTCGATATCTGCTGCTTCAAGGGACAAAGAATGAAAAGATTTTAATTTTATTTACCAATATTAATGTTGGTACTTGTGTAACTTATTGCGTTCTCATCGGTGAAGGAAAACATTGTGAGGAAACCTACATATTTTGGAAATAATAACAAAAAAATATATTTCGAAGATATGTAAAGTCCACCAATTCGCAGTGAGGCCGCGTTATGGACCACCACCCTATGCCATGCCCTTTGACCACGAGTGGGACATGTATTGTCTGTTACTTTTACTTTTTTTTATGTGAAGAGTTGGCAAACGAGCAGACGGTTCACCTGATGTTAAGTAAATACCGCCGCCCATAGACTTCTGCTACACCCGAGGGTTTGAAGATGCGTTGACAACCTTTTAGGAAATTGAGCTCCGGCTGCTTCAATCACCAGACGAAACGCGAAAGTATTATACTTCCACTTTACGCCGGTCTTGGTATTTACCCGCGAGCCTGCCCAGTCGTGCGACAGCCGAGGCTGCTTCGTGGCCCTACCACCGTTAAAGTTTGTTTAAACTTATAAATTAAAGATTAAGACCTCAATGACTTACAAAGTCCAGTGTTATAATTCAAATTCAAGGAACGCGCTGGTAGGCATCTAGATATATAACTTTAGTATCCGATAGTTTGTATGTAGCTTAAGTAGAGACAATATATTTTCTATTTAAAATATTAATGGTAACTACAACATCTAAATATATCTCCATAAATATATAAAGATGAATTTGATGATTGTACTCATATCGTATTAAGAAATTAAGAATTAATAATTGAAATAATTTACTTCATCTTCAATGTTATCATATCAAAAAATTAATATTCCCCATACAAATTTGCTACTTTTTTTTCGCAAGTTTTAGCCAATAAATTGGAATGTGTATTTGTAGCAGTTCGCCGAGTCAGACGAGCCCCTTTGCATCCCCTTCCCCGCTTCACCTCTTTCGGACATCTTTTGTCTCTTTTCGCCATAGATACTTTTTATTATCTATCTCGCTTATATGACCTTTGAATTTGCTGAATAATAATACCTATCATAAAATCTTTGTTTACTTCTCGTTTGTATCTCGTGGTAGTGTTTTTGTTATTGTGCGAAAATATTATCAGTAAGATTTTATTACGAAAGTATTGAGAATTTTAAATAATATTGTTAGAAAATAAGTGATTGTTTTTAATTATGTAACATTTCGTGCATAAAGGTTTAATTTCGGTTTGAATTCGATAACGAAAGTCATTGTGGATAAACAAGTGCTTAGTGTAGTAATTCATTGATGTTGTTTACGTAATATAATTAAAGAATGATATTAACGTGTAATATTATTGTACAAGCTTTATCTATAAGATAAATAAAGAAGAATATTCTAAATAAATAAACAGTAAGTTACGACACGTGGGTTTGGAGCGAATTAAAATCGATATAGACGTCGTGCGCCAGTCTATCAACGAGACGACTTTACTTCAAGGTCAACTACACAAACACGTGCAATGTCGGATTCTATTTACACGCATGATTTTCTTCTAGAATCTGGTATAGAAATAAAACAGGAATCACCTTTCGAACTGGGACCGATGTCGGCGTCGGTACCAATTCCGCAGCGTCGGTCTGAACTTGGTGATTTTACTACAGACCTAGATATGTGCCTTCAGGAAAATCTCGGAGGTTCTTTTCATAGTGTACCAACTATTCAGTATAGCAAATTAACATTCGAGGTTGAAAATACACCAAAAATGGAAACATTCAAAATGGAAGATGATGATATTTTTCAAGTAGACAAAGCAGACTTAATACTTGGACCGACACTTGCGGAACTAAACGCTAATCCAGATAATTTACTAGATGATCTTAATTTTGATGATCTGCTTTTGCCAGAAGAAAGTGAATATTGCATTCAAATTGGGGGAGCAATCAGTGGTTCTCGCCGTACAATGAACAATATTCAAACATCAAATCTTCAGTCTATAGACAGTCCTTGCAGTCCCTATAGTAGGACACAACTTGCATTTTCGCCATCAAGCCAGCATTCGTCAGCCTCATCAAGTTTTGCACAGCCAAGTAATCAATTGTCTGAGCTATTGCTGAGAATGGATGGGTACAGTGGTGAAATAGCACTTGGACAATCAGTACCTGCGTCTACGGTTTTGCCACCATTTCCATCTGCAGTTAAACCATATCAGTCACAATTATCGTCATCTGCACCCACCCATCTTACTATGGAACAGGTCATTATATGATTATTTTTAATTACAATAATCCAACAACAATTACATACTTATAATTCAACAATATCTATATCTTTGAAACCGTTATATTTACTATTTTATATTATATATTTATTAAATAATTAAAAACATGTTTTCGTTTAGGATTTGTCTTTAGGTGTTTTAATTAATTACACATGTTACAAATTCTGTAGTAACAGTATAGTTCGAATATCTTTTAATATTTTTTATAAATTTGCTATATATGTATAAAAAAAATTGAACTATATTTATTTTTATTTATAAAAAATATGTAATAAAAGATTTAAAATTTTGAATTTTTAAACATTCCATTATTGAAAGGAAGAGAAGCTAAATTTTCTGTTCAAAATAAGACTAATTTTGACAACTGTTAATATATTTTATTATTTCAGATTTGGCAACGTCGAGAGCCTCGCAAACATTTACTTTCTACAAGTTCTTTAGCTGAAGCTGGATCTGCGTCCTCCCTTTCTGGTAGTCTGCTAAGCCCAGGTAATGGTGACTTCTCTCAAGATGAAGAAGACAAAGATGCAGAGTCCGATGAAGATAGTGACAGATATGAGGATTTTTCTTCTGATGGTAATATGTATATATGTACCACATTTTATTTAAGTTGTACATTTACATCATATTAATCTTTATTTTAAAAATGCAATTTGTATTGAATTTACATCTACTATTTAAAACTTCATGAACTGGACTAATTGTTGTCTTTGGGCATTTGGATAAACTATAACCCAGATAATCACACTTTTAACACATTAGCATTACCATGTTAAGTTCATTTACGGCATGGAATAGTATTAATAAAATAAAATTATAGAACATAATTACTTTATGAGTTATGCTTTGGAGTGCATTAAGTATAATTACATAATATACAGTATAATTGATTATAGATTTAGTACAATTGATAATATTAATTAAAAATAATAATCAATAAAAAAGTATGCACAAAATTAATGTATGTGAAATATTCATTATATTTATTTTTGATGCTTAATTCTTCTTAAACTTCTTTAGACTTAATTCAACATTTTTAATATTATTAAATTTTTAGAATCCAACGATGAATGTTCAGAAAGCAAACATGCACGCAGTAGCTCTAAGAAAGAAAGATATTTTTGGCAGTATAATGTTCAATCCAAAGGCCCTAAAGGTCAAAGATTAATACTAAAGAAGAAATCTGAAGACCCTCATATACTTAATACAGTTACTGATCCTGTTTTTAGTCCAAGTTGTAGCGTAAGAGGTATCAAACACAGGTAATTTAATAAAAAGAACTTTTAATTTTATGTTGACCAAAATTTTGTCATTATAAATTTGGCAAAAACATGCTTACAAGCAATCCCATTGCTTGTATATTTAAAATGTATTAAATAAAAATCAAATAAGGCCCTGGTAATGTTAATGAACTGAAAGCAACACAGAAAATAAAATTATAAAACAATATATTGACGACCCGAATGGCGTTGTGGGTAGTGTACCTGCCTCCTGCGCCAGAGGGTGTGGGTTCGATCCGCACTACTGGATAAATATTGTGTGATGAACATAGCATTTTTCTAGTGTTTGGGTGTTAATATATGTATAATATTTATTTATTTAAAAAAACAAAAGTATGTTTAAGTATGTTTATCAGATTTCTAGTACCCATAGTACAAGCTTTGCTTAGTTTGGGACTAGAGAATGTTGTGTAAAAAAGTGTCCTAAAATATTTATTATTATTATTTATTATATTTCTTCACGTCTAATAAACATTCTAAAAATTGTTTTAGTGGTAAAGCAAGAAAAGGGGATGGTAATGACCTAACACCAAACCCAAGAAAATTATATCTTATTGGCCTAGAGCTGGACAATTTGGGAAAAATTATTAATGACATGATCCCGGTTAGTGAACTTCCATTTAATATAAGGCCAAAAACACGAAAAGAGAAAAATAAACTGGCTTCAAGAGCTTGCAGGTTAAAGAAGAAAGCACAGCATGAAGCAAACAAATTAAAATTATTTGGTTTACAGCAAGAACACAGTAAGTAAAATTTTTATTAATATTGAAACAAATCGAAGTAACTCAATCATACCAAAAATTTTAATTTGTATGGAGAAGAAAGTATAGAAAAATATTTTATTAAAAATGAGGTACTTTAGGATACTTTGGAAAATAGCAATAAATATGTGGTCTCACATTTTTATTAGTGCATAATAGAATGACCACCTAAACAATACTTTACTCTTATTTCTTAATTAAATATAAAATTATTTTCTTGAATCTTGCTACAACTTCTATATTTTAAAATAAAACAAACATAATGCTATGGTAAATTACTTTCAAATTTTTATGCCTTGAAACTAATCTATTAGTCTACTGTTTTATGATTTTTAGTTAGAAAAAGGTTGTAAGTGATTAACATGTATGTAAAAGTAATTATATTACTGCAGAACGACTCCTGAATGGTTTAACACAAATGAAGCAAATATTGAGCAACAGAATAAATAATCCTGAAAGTAAATTGGACTGGTCCTCCCATGTCAAAAATGTAATAAACACTGCTACAGGTATGTACTATAAAAATCAAGACTTTTTACCCTAAATTTTAATAGCACTAGTTTAAAATTAACAAATTAAAAATGATTGCAGAGGTAAAGATAGCTGGCAACACTTCAGAATATGTCAATAAAATATTAGACAATGTTAAAGCTGGCCAAAATAGTGGTGGAATAAATGACATATAAGGGGAATGAAACCAAGGAAATAGATAAATAGTAAAACAAAAGGCTGTTCTATGTACCTCCAAAGCTATTTTAGAGACAAGTGTTTTATGTATATCATTTAAAAGCTGAATTGTCAAAGACAGTTTTATTTTTTTATGGATACAATTAGAATTAGTCATTAGCTGCTTCATAAGGCAACTAAGGGGTATGATTTAAAATTCTCATTTATATTTTATATTATATTAGTTATTGCCAGTTTGATGTTATAGTGTAAGTATGCTTGGATAAAATGGTTAGCATCTTTCAGCGATATATTCATATCTATGGGATTCATAGGTTTAAAGCATTTTATCTATTCCTCTTCTATATAACCAAGGATTAGTTATACTTTGATATGAATGACCTAAAAGTTATATTTTATATCATATAATTAAGTTAAGAATTCTCTCTAACTTACAAAGTAACACATAGCTATAGTTATATTTTATGTAATGATTATATACACTTTTTATTCATCATATAAAAAAGGAAATATAGCCATAAAAGTAAAAGATAAAGATTTTTATAAAAATTTTAGATTGGATCCATAGTTTTAGAGACGCTATTCATTATACGAGCTCAAATTTTGATAAGACTTTCTTGATATATCTATACATATATAAATATATATATATGACTATAAAAATTATAAATACTGGACTGTCATTTTGTGTAACAACATTGTATTCAGATCAATAATACTGAAAATTCTATCAGAAGATTATAATTATATAATACATAATTTAAGTACATTTATTTTCATTTCAATCATACTGTTTGTGAAATACACAACCAATAATGCAGTTTCATATTTTGTGTTAAAAAAAACAATTTTATCCATTGATGCAAATCAATTATTAATATAAAGGATGTATGTATTTAAGAAAAATTAATATAATCTTGTTGGTTATTTATTTACCTTTCTTTGCAAAAGATGCTGAATGAAAAATTTGATACAATATCACCAACAGCAATTTCATAATAATACATAATTACATATACACATAATAATTATTAAAAAAAACATAAAAATGAATATCTAAAAAAATGTTATACCAACTCATCAATTTGTGTTTATATGAATGCTTTTTTGATACATAGGCAGTTTTTACCTAATTAATTGAAATAAATTTTAAAAAATATATGTGCATGGTTACAAAGTTATATCAATATTATATATTTGTTAAATTAGACTTTTTTTATTTTTTATGTACAGTTGACTGATGTTGACCCAAGATGGTTTGAAGCCAAAATTTATAACAACATGATTCACATGTTGCGCCTACTCCACCTAAGCTAATAGGAGAGGTGGTGTGGTTAATGATGTGGCATGAAACTCTAATGAACAGCTACCTTTGAGTTTTCTAGTAGTGATCTGTCATGTGTATCATTAGCATTAGTCATAACTATTTACATTTGTAGTTAATAAGTATTTCTATTTTTATGAATATTTCTATTTTCATTAATAAGTAAAAGGAGCAAATACAAATCAGTTATGAAAAAGAGGTATTATAAAAGTGAATTTAAATATAACAGCTGCTTTGTTAAATGAAATCATTGTAGAGATTCTTTCTATTGTTTTTTTTTTAATATATAAAAGTGATTTTGGATCAATAAATAAAGCTGATGGTAGGCCAACTTAAGATATATTTTATTAGTAAACTATGCTAATATTAAAAAAGAACTCTGATGTTTATGATATGTTGTGATTTTTTTTTATTACACAATGCACACTCAGGTATAAAGCTGTAATAACTGCCATATTAGTCTTAAAATAAAATTGAATCCAATACAATCACAATTAAAACTACAATAATTTTATTTAACAATGCATCATTGTCACATCAACACATAAGGAATTTAGACATCAAAAAATCATGCTTATGTGTATGAAATGTTCAAATCAAGAAGATAAATATTGTCAATTATAACTGTATGATGCATGGATACAACCCATAATATTCTTAACAACAATGGGACTGCAAGTCAACTAAATAGAATGATTTTACATGTTAACTGATTACAATTATTCAACCATAGATTAACTTGCAATGGTTAATATACATATAAGCATGTTTTTATGACAATATCATATTAATTTATAAAAAAAAATAGCAGTAAGGTGATAAGGGATAATTAATTATAATTGCATAATATAATTATTAAATCATTAATATATTACTATAAGAACTTTAAATACTATTATATATTTTTTAAAAATATTTATTTAAATTAAATAAAGAAAAAACAAATTTTATTCATGTTAATGATTAAACAAAAAGTTAAGCCTTGTTAGCCTTTCATATTTATGGCATATAATTATGTTAATTTGTTGCCATTTAAAATTTTTTATGTTGTTACGATGTTTGCTATCAGACACATCAGATCGATAGAATTTTTATTAATATTTTTAAAATAATGAACAAAATTACGACAGATTAATTTAATAAGAAAAAATATGAATTGTTAAAAATTAAAAAAAAACATAAATTTTCATTTTTTTGATCGACCACAATTCATCAAGCCATGATTTTTTTTACTTACTATATTTAAGGTGTAGAACAGTTAACGCAAAACTTAAATATGCCTGGGTGAAGAAGACTTTAGGTCTGCCTGATTTAGTATAAGTTATCAGTAATGTAGCTCTGCTCACACTGCAATCAGTAACCTTAAAGACTATAGGGCGAATGGAAGGTATACTCACCTCATACATAAGTCCTTAATGTTTTTAAATTATGAACTGCACAGTAAGTTGGACATATCTCTAGACGCGCATTTTAGTTTTGCTGGACTTACGCCTGGTTTCTGAAACACTGATCAACGTTAGTTCACTTCTATGATGATCAGTGTTTTAGAAACCGGGTAATAGAACTATAAACATTATAGTATAATTAAATATAAAATAATAACATTAATCAAGCAATTACTATATTACTGTTATGAAAAAAAATACTTGTCCATAGCCAAGTATCTCGTAAAATTTCAGTCTTGAATGCTAAAGGCCACCCAAACACACATATATAAAACTGCTTATAATCTAAATCTTTTCGTAAATTATTATATAATAATTTAGAGTTATAAAAATCATTGCAAATGAAAATAACAATTATATTGGGTTCAAAAATTTTATCACTACTTTTTTCTTAATACTTTACAACTGGTCTGCGATTCAATAGGCTGTGCTAATTTTGTATAAATTATAGATTTCTTATGTTATATTTTGTTAATAAAATGTTTTTTTAAGCAATATTGTGTTAAACTTGTATCTATGTTAATTAAATATTTTAAGTAAAGTTGGTGTTTATTTTCTTATCATAAATTTAATCCTATGTATATTCTGCTTATTTTTTTACCATTTTGTTTTAAATTAAATGGTAATAATAAGTGATAGGGAAAACAGGCTACTAACAATTTCTTGGGTAAATATTGGTTTTATATCAAAAAGATATTTATAAATTTCTTTATTACTTAAACCATCAAATATACAAATTTGAATTTATGATTTCACTAAAGCCAGATGTAGATATTGATCCAATTCCTAGTTTATTTAAGATTTTCTGTATCTCCTTGACTTGATAATCATCTGTGTACTCCACATAACAAATAATTGCAACTCCCATTAGATCCAACTGCTCTCTCAAGATGATAACTGAAACAAACATTATATATGTTACATACTGTACATAGTGTATTGTTATTACATAAATTTCTATCAATTGTACAAGGCTTAAACATTGAATTATTTTTTGTTAATTAACATTTGCAAAATTTTGCACTTATAAATATGACTGCAGAATATTATTGCTTCCAAACATTATGTTAAGTAAACGCAATTTTTTTTTCACTACATAAAATTACACTTAAAACAATCACCAAGTTCACATACACATAAATGTTGGTTAACTTAATGATTCATTGCTTCAAATGCTAAATAACGATGTAGATAAAGGACATCAAGATTTTCATCGGTGTGGCAATCAGCCGTTTAGCTTAGTGGCTATATAATCTTTTTAATGATTATCAATCTTAAAATAATGTAAACATTAACACGCTAGCTTTGTGATAAAAACTAAGAATGTAGACAATATTTGTATAGTATTAAAGATCTAAAATCAGTACACATAATGAATCAGTTTCTATGACAAATAATTATTCAAAGATCTACACTTCATTCAGGTCTTCCTACTAACCTTTTGTTTTTATATTTTATGATTACCCTACTTGTTTTTATGCCAGCTTTAATAATTAGTTTCTTCTGAAGGAGACATCAAAGTACACTCAAAAACAGCCCATGATGAATAAGAAGCACAGAGTGCAGTTCAAAAACTTAACTTTCTATTTCCATTTCATCCATTCTAAGAACACTTATTAATTGGCAAGTACAGTGAACCCCCCCTATTTTGTTCCCTGTCTAATCTCGGCGCCCCCAGAAATTTGACAAGCCTATCACTGTAGGTATTTGTTGAATGTAGATTACACACATAATTTTTGCAAATATTCACTATTGTAGGTAATTCATGATTACTTTTTAATTGCAACTTGTATGTGACACAACTTCACTTTATTGTGCTTGACGCATGTTGTTATCTAAATTCAACACTCCTATGTAGTATGATTTGTATTTCAGATAGAATCTTATCATTTTGAATCGTAATTTGCCTTGTAAGCACAATTCTGGTCTTGTGGTACTCTATAATACGACAAATTTGATTGACCGACCCTGCCCTGCAAAACATTTGTACCAGGGATCCGTCATGCTTACTATTTTCCATGACTTGGAATTAATAGCAATAATCCGATTTTATATAAGTAAAAAAAACATCTAATAAGAACAAATTAAATAAAAGCTGTTATAAATTATAAAAGTATTAAAGAATAAGTAATAATACTTTATCAACTTACCTCCTGCAGATACACCAGATAAAATGTTAGGCTGTTCAAGTTTTGGATATTCAAACTCTGTCATGTTTAAGGCTTTTGATGTATAAATCCCTCGAACACAAGGTTGTATATTAAGCAAATTGCTTTGGTAGTCTGATACTGAAACTATCTTTATTGCAATAACATTTTTGCTTGTTTCTAAATAGGGATTCAACATTTTAACTATTTCAGTACTTAGCACCATGTCATAGTCCTTGACTGTACAAATATATTTTGGAGGTGCTCCTATTTTATACAGACTTAAATCGATTTTTTTAATCTTATTCACTAATTGCAGTTGTTGAGATGTTATATCAATGAAGTTTTTAAAATATTTCCCATCAAGCAAATAAAATGAGTGAATTTCTTCGTTAATTTCAACATGATATTCCCATTGTAAACTGAAAAAAGAAATAAATTTGTAAAATAAATTTACTCATTTATTTAAAACAATTATTGTAGTTAGGTATGATCACTTGATATCATTTTCTGGTGTTGTATCATCCCAATCTTCCCAAATAGTTCGGCTGGATGGTTCAACAATCTCTCCAAATAAAGTCATTATCGACGATTTATTTTTACTAAGGTACAAATTCAGACCAATACCCTAAAAAAACATAACTATTAACTATAACAACTACAACTAGGTATGTTAAGATGTTAAATTCAAATTTCAAATGTCATTGTCAATTTTTTTTTTTTTTTTTTTTAAATAATAAAAATATTTATTGATCTAATATTTACAAGATTAAATCTATCTAAAATTACATATTGTCAATTACATATTTCATTGTCAATTTAGCGATGTGCGACTCGAATTATTTGACTCGAGTAACTCGAGTCAAACCTTAAACGAGTCAACTCGAGTTCAGTTTTAAGCAACTCGAATCAACTCGGTCGTCCGAACGCAAGCCGGACGTTATACGCGGCGGCCTCACGAGTTGTTCCGAGTTACACACGCGGCTCGAGCGCGCGGTTCGTTAGGCGTTGCAACTCGAGTTGAGTGAAATGTAAAGTTTCGTTTCACGCGCGCGCTTCGTTCGTAAGGTGTTGCATCTTACTCGCATCAACTCGAATAGAACTCGGGTTGAGTCGGGCTCGTTCGGCTAGGATCGGAAACGGAATTGCGCAAAAGAAAAACCGCTTTAAAAGTTTATTTTGTTTTTTGGTTGACATTTTGTTATTTGATTTTATTAGTTGGCCGTTGGCGATCCGCGTGCGAACTGACATTTTTGATTTGTTAGTGATCTGTTTTGTTTTGTTTGTAACGACGTCAAATAACAGAAGTGTGGCGTGGGAATTCTTTGCTATAAAAACAGAAACTTTTTTTAACTTTATTTTCGATAAGCAATCGAGTATATACAATTACATTTTATAAGTACGACTTTGAGGCGATAGATGGCGGTATTTTTTTATCGTATTTTCTTAAACACGATGTTGAGATCTGCGCTGGAATAATATACACATTTGTTGATTGATTTTCGAGATAAAATGCACACTAGTGCCAATTGATTGTAAATTTTGTCTTTGAAATCCCAACCGTCGGACACTGTTCGAGGTCGAGGTGTATAGAAAAAGGAGAGGATTAGTTCAGACCACAAACGAAGTTGCGAATCGACTCGAGTAGCCACACCACATAACATCACGATTCAACTTCATTATTACTTCCTATCTAATTAGCCTCGAGTCGAGCTGACTCGTGCTCTCCGAGTTGGCCGAGTCGTCCCCCTCCCCACCCCCTATGTCCCTACTTGAGACTTCGATGCGAGTCAACTCGAGTTGCGATTCGAGTCAGTAGCCAAATCAACTCGAGTAACTCGAGTCAAAAAAAATCCAACTCGTCACATCACTGTGTCAATTTGGATGGATCATGGAAATGTGAACCTCAGTTTCACAGATAACACATATATACTGAAAGTATATTATCATCATGTAAACTGATGTTTTTGCTTTCACTCCCGAGACTATTAAAGCTTCATCTGACGCAGAACCGGTGGGCTAGCCAGAACCCACGGGTTTGGGCCCTCCGCTGTGGGTAGAGCCGCTCATGTGCGTCATATAAAAGCCATCGAGGTCGCGGTTCGGACCGAAACCCCGATGGACGTTGTCTGTGCAATTAGCTAATCGGTGCCTGGGAGCGGTGAGAACCGCCCCGAAACGCGGGTGTACCTTGTGTACGCGTTGTGTTGGTCTCGCCGTGCTCGAAGGCGAGGGCGAACTAGTGTGTTTGTTGTTGCACTAACTGTGGGTGTAGTGTTATCCGGCGGGACCCCCGGCGGTAGGTCCATCGATTCTAAGTCCTCTTCGTAGCTCGGGTCGATGAGGACATTTCGCGGGCGACGCTTGTTGACGTTCGCGTTTGTGTCGGGTTGGTAACTTGCTGCGCTTACCACCAGAGGGTTGGGATGATGTTCGGCTCTATCGAAGTCAGTTTGGTCAGGTCTTTAAAATATTCGCGAATCGTCGGGAGTCTGCAATCGCTGTGCAGATCGACGTTGGACGTCGCGTCTTGTACAAGCGAGTAGGGTGCGTGTGGGCGAAGGTCATGCATGCGTAGGACATAATAGGTCGTACGCAGGTCTTATATAATAATAATTTGTGCCTTAAGGGCTTTTTACTTTTAGCGTTAGTTAAATTGTATAGCCGGCCGGAGACGAACGCGGCTCTATTGCGAACGTTATTAAAGAGAGTAGTAAATGACATACGCGAGTCGAAAGTGACTCCTAATTATTTGACCTTTTTCTCTCAGGCTTCGTCGTCTACGACGTCTTCGTGACGTCGTCTACAAGCGTTTTGTGGTCGCTAATGGTTTTGAGACTCTCGGGGCCAGACGTGGCGGCCGATATTTTAGTGGACAATGCGGCGAGCTCTTGTCGTGATGATATTTGCTATTTGGGCGAACGGGTCGTCATTGTTTCTTGTGAATACCGGTGGTGTTGACTGCACCTGCAGCCTCGGCGCCTGATGAATGGCGGCCTGCGATTGGGATAACGTTGGTCGTGAGGCGACCGGGGGCGCAACTACCTGCGCGGTCACCTGGGGTTTTGCCCAGGCGCGGGATTAGGTAACGTTGTTTTCGCGGGAGCTTTTCTCGCGGGAGTTTTTGGGGCCTTAGTGCAGCCTCTGTAGCTAGCCGGGTGGCCGGTGGAATGGCAATTTACGCAGTCCGGTGGATCTGCTCAATCTCTCGGCCGCGTGCACTCGGGCGTGCCGTGGTCACCGGTGCATTTGACGCACCTAGGGTGTGCGAAAAAATTATTGGCCGTGTGGCCGTAATGTTGGCAGTTGTGGCTCTGTGCACAATGCCTGATTTGCGCAAGGGCTCGATGATAAGGTCGCTGAGCCCACAGACCCTCTTCAGGTTGAAGATGGCCTTACTTTCCGGGGTAGGGTCAAGCCTACACTTCGGGACTTCGTTGGCGAAGTAATTCCTCTAGGAGGGAACCCATTTCGAGCACTTGAGTTCCTCACTTTTCTTTGTCCTTTTTTTAGATCTTACGTCGCTCGTGCCCTTCGGTGTTGGGGAAGCCATAGTCATCAGTGCTGTAGTGGGACGAAAGACTCATGCTCCATTACCACCACTTCACAGTTCGGAGGTGGAAGTGCGAAGTCGAACGTAGAGGTAGCACTGCGTAAACATAGGGCTTTAGGAATCCCCGGGGACGTAACTGTCACCGTATCGACAGACATAAACTCAATTAAAAACTTTTGAAATAATAATAATTCGTATTTAACGGTGCGTGGAATGAGAAAGCTTAAGTCATCCCAAGATTTTAAGCAATTAAAATAGCTTTAAACTTATGACCTTTAGTTGAGCTAAGAGCTCGTGTGTATTTCGGGTGAAGTTATAAAGTCAATATACACTATTCACAATACTTATTGTTCACACACATATACACACAAAACATAAAGTCAGAAGGAGTGAAGAGATTATACAAAACTATAGCAAAAAGAAAATAGCGAAAGAAACAGCGACAGCGGAAGTATAATAGCACGTGTAAATTGAATATTATTTTTATTAGGGTTCCCTCAATGATTTCCAGGTCAGCAGTCTCTGGGAGTCCCATAGTCCAATCTTGGTGGACAGTTCTGATACGGGGGTATAACTGTGCCAGGTAATTGCACTATTCTTCTCACTGGCTTCAAGTAGCCTTTGAGAGACACGATATTCGTTCCTTGACTGGGAAAGAAAGCACACCCCTTGCCGAACGGATGCATGCTGGGAGCGTGGCCCAAAGAGCGTTCAATCTTCTTTTGAAGGTTCAATAACGCTGGCTTGTCAGCTTGCTCCGAGGCTGAGATTGCTGCAGTTGCTTGAATAGATATAGAATTGAATAGAGTGGTGGCCGTCACAGCAATTGTGGCATAAGATATGCTTAATGTGGTATCTTACACTGTGTCCATTTCATCATGTTCCTGGCGGTCGAGTGAACTACAAACAGAATAATATGAAGACGATCTCAGTGGCTGCGAGTGTCTAGTTATATTAGTACCACGTCGTTTTGTAATAAATGTCAATTTTCTTATTTTTCCTATTCTCGAAGCACTGAAAACACTATCTTAGCAATATTGAAATCAATATTTGACATTGATGTAAAACCAAAAATATCATAACATTTTAAATATTTTTCAAAGGCTCCATGTTCCTAGTTTCCTTATTTAGTATCAGTATTGAATTATCCTCGGGAAACGACAAACAATCAGAATATTATAACAAAAAAAATACGTGCATACAGTTCTTAATATTATGTTAAGCGTGTTGTAGTTTTTATGCAAAATATTACTTATTTTTAACAATAAGTCATGTTAAAGGTGCGACCAATATTTACACGTTAACTTGATTCCCCTCGTCTAAATTCTCTTAATCTTAATAAGTTTTTGACTTGCAGGATAGAGGGATTGTCACCTTTGAAGATAAATGGCCTTCTATGCGACCCATAGTTTTGAAGTTACTCAAACAAGAGCCTGTAACTCAAACAGAATGGCAAGATCTATTTGGGGCAGTACATTCCGTATGCTTATGGGACGAACGAGGGCCATACAAATTAAGAGATGCATTACAACAAGATATAATGATGTATATAAAGCAAGCTCAAGTAAGGGTACTAGCTCAGCGAGAAGATCAAGCTCTTCTTAAAGCATATATAGCAGAATGGGGTAAATTCTTTACCCAATGTAACTATCTACCTACCCCTTTTCGTCAACTCGAAAATTCTATCAATAATATTAGCAAAGTTACTAGCTCCAGCACATTTAATACACAGAAAAAAAATAATAACAACAATAATGAGGATAGCTTAGTTCGAAAATTGATGTTGGATTCATGGAATCAGAACATTTTTGTAGATATTAAGCAAAGATTGCAGGATTCAGCTATGAAGCTTGTTCAGGCTGAACGTAATGGAGAATCATTTGATTCGCAACTTGTAATTGGAGTGAGGGAATCATATGGTAAGTTAATTATAATAAAACCAATAAAAGGTTTAGTAATTAAAATGAGTTAATATTATTATCAATAACACATGTTCCAACAGTAGTAAAGTATTGAGAAATATATTTTTATTTCTCCTTGGTGATGATGGTATAAATTATTTATAGAGATACAGTATAAGATTAAGAAAATTGAAAAGAGGATATTTTAAAGTTTTTACCAAAAACATTACTTTAATTGCTGTCTTTGGATGGTTCTAAGAATGTTTTTTTTTTTTTTTGTATGTTGTACCTTTTGGTTAGAGAGCCTTCTCTTGTGTTAGTGATATTTGTGAACTGGCTATTGTTAGCAGTCTAAACAATAGTCTTATTGTTGCAAATAGTATAAGTTATAGCACCATGTTGTATCTCTTATCTAATGCTACAATATTTTGCAATATCTGTTATATATTCATACCAGATATTGCAAAAAATATAAATTTGATCATAGATACACAATTTTATCATATTTACAGTAAATTTATGCTCAAACTCAAACGATAAGCTTCAAATATATAGAGAGAATTTTGAAGCTGCATACATGCAGGCGACTGAAGAGTTCTATAAGCTTAAAGCTAATGAGCATCTGTTAACTAATGGTGTGCAATCATATATGAAATATGCTGATCAACGTCTTAAAGAGGAGGAAGCTCGTGCTCATCGGTACTTAGAGCCTGGAAGTGGAAGTGTTGCTGCTCTTACTCAATGCTGCGAAAAGGTTATTATTGGTGAACATTTGTCAACACTATTAGCTGAGAGTGCACCATTAATTAAAGCAGGGGAAACTGGAAAACTACAGCTTATGTTTCGTCTGTTAGACAGAGTGTCTGAAGGAGTACCTCCAATCCTAAGAGATTTGGAAGCTCATATTGTATCAGCTGGTTTGGCAGACATGGTGGCTTCCGCTGACATTATTACAACTGATTCAGAAAAGTATGTTGAGCGCTTACTGGATCTATTCAAGAAATTCAGTACATTGGTGAAGGAAGCATTTCTGGATGATCCAAGATTTTTGACTGCAAGGGACAAAGCTTACAAATGTGTGGTGAATGATACTACAGTGTTTAAATTGGAATTACCATCATCTGCACTTATTCGCGGGAGTAAGGGTACTGCCCCTGAAAGCAAATGTCCAGAACTTTTAGCAAATTACTGTGATATGTTGTTACGTAAGACTCCTCTTAGTAAACGGCTGACTAGTGAACAAATAGAATCACGTTTAAAGGATGTACTCTTGGTATTAAAATATATCGAAAATAAGGATGTATTTATGCGGTATCACAAAGCACATTTGACAAGAAGATTAATATTAGACTCTAGTGCAGATTCAGAAAAAGAAGAGGATATGGTGGAGTGGTTGCGAGAAGTGGGAATGCCTGCTGATTATGTTAATAAACTAGCTCGCATGTTCCAAGATATAAAAGTCAGTGAAGATCTCAATATTCAATTTAGAGGTGAAACTACAAGACATGATGCTATAAACATAAAAATTCTCAATGCTGGAGCATGGGCTCGGGGCTCAGAAAGAGTGACAGTTAGTCTTCCATTGGAATTAGAAGACTATATACCAGAAGTGGAAGACTTTTATAAGAAAAAACACTCTGGTCGGAAACTACAATGGTACCACCATATGAGCAATGGTACAATAACATTTGCTAATTCAGTTGGCAGATTCGATTTGGATGTTACAACATTCCAAATGGCTGTTTTGTTTGCTTGGAACCAAAGACCGTTTGAAAGAGTTACTTATGAAAATTTAAGACTTGCAACTGAACTACCAGACCCTGAGTTGAGAAGGACTTTATGGTCTCTTGTTGCTTTTCCAAAACTTAAACGGCAGCTATTATCTTATGAACCTATAGTTCAAAACCCTAAGGATTTTGCAGAAAATACTGCCTTCTGGGTAAATCAAGAATTTGCACTTGTAAAGAATGGGAAGCCACAGAGACGGGGAAAAATAAATTTAATTGGAAGGCTTCAATTAAGTACTGAAAGATCTCAATTGGAGGATAACCACTCAATCGTTCAACTTAGAATCTTACGAACTCAAGAAGCTATCATTAAAATACTAAAGATGAGGAAACGGATATCAAACACTGCTCTTCAGGTAACATGGTTTTTTCTGTTTTTAGTTGCACTTAAAGTTGTTCATTATTTCATAGGGAAAGTTAAGTAAATTAATTGCTTATATAAATATAACTTGACTTTACCACTTTTTACTTTATCATAAAAATTGCTATAATGAAGAGCATGACATCAATTTACGCAGATAGTACTTGACCATACATTCATTTACTTTAAAATGTAACTGCTATATCTTTTTATTTTCCAGAGTGAGCTCATTGATATATTAAAGAATATGTTTTTACCTTCAAAGAAGATGATCAAAGAGCAGTTGGAATGGCTTATTGAACATAAGTATATGCGGCGTGATGACGAGGATATTAACACCTTTATCTATATGGCTTAGGCCTTAGAGCATTTTTTGTGTGTAAATGAGTAAAATCAAATAAATTATTTAACCTAACCTTTTCTATATAGACTTTTGATATTAATCTGACAATTAACGATGGAAGTTCACTTTTGTTTCATCTAGTAAGTGAGATAAGGAACCCATACATTTAGAGGTGGGCAATTCATTAGCAACACCTGTGGACATTCTGGACCTCCATGGGCGGCATTAACACAACATTAGGAGAATCGATCCCGGTTTTCTTCTCATTCTTAATTTAAAATAATAAGCTTTATAAAGATGTAGTAGATATAAATTGTGGTTCAACAATAATACAACATCAAACTTGTTAGCTCTGCAGATTTGCTAAATGTGATTCGGCTTAAGAATCTAAGCAACCGATATCCTCACCACGCAAAAATCTCGACACCAACCTATTTACTTGTTGGTTTTGCTTATTTAGCAATGCTTGGCACCACTTTGGGAATCACTTTACAGTTCAGGCACTTTCAGATTACAATTTTTATAATAAATATTTGAACGAGGGATGTTGCCTTTGCTATTAAAATTTCAATAAGAAATGATTAGAGTCTTGGCAATGTCAAACAATTTATCAACAAAAATTCATATTTTATGTTTTGTCTTGAGTCTGTTAACTTAATTTTAATAAAAATTGATGGGTTATTCTTAATCCGAAATTTCAAAGTCAAAGTTTTTTTAATATATACTAGGCATAATTTTAAGCTCTTACTGAACGACAAAAATAAATACCCCCAGCTCACTATACTAGACCTAAACAGAGAAGAACTGGTAAGAAACTCTGTGGTCTTATCTCATTTTGTTTTTTTTTTTGTGAGCAACTATACAAACATATTTAGGTTGAAATCAGCAGCAGCCAGGGTCTTGCAAACAGAGAGCAAGTCATTTCCACACATCCATGTGTGTATTCTTGGACATTATAATAGACCCATGCAATTAGGGTAGCTTTTACAAAAAATTGTTTCTACATACTTGTGGATGTCATTTATTTTATCATAAATGAATGCATCTATCAAGAAACGACTTTCTGATTTTAGCCAGTCTAAACATCGGTCTTTCCAGTGTCATCACACAGGCCCTATGTGATGTGGAAACGGAAAGTTTTTTTGTAAATAGGGGTTTTTTAGTGGCGAAGTTCTCGAGCATATGTACAGCGATGGGAGCGTTAAAATGTTTGTTAGCTTAAAAATATGCTATAGTGACTCACATGAACCCAAGATTTAGACATACCGTATAGGCTTCTTTTGTAATACAAATATGGTGTTTAAGCCGGATTTAATACATGTAGGTTTTCAAAATCAAAGATGTTCAATCCATATTTATCATTCGTTTTTTATTAAATATATGACAATAGGTAAACATTTAAAGGAATCTTTTAACATCAATTCTTGACAGGGTCTATGGTTTCTCCTCCTTGAATTTGTCCCCAGCCAATTAAACTGCAAAATAAAAAAGACAGTGATAGATTATCCTGTAACTTGACTTATACTGTACTGTACTGATACTATCCTTAACTTTTATTATGGTGTATGCAGTGTGTAACAGATGGACGACATCTTTTGCTCAAAATATGAATCAATTTTAGGTGCAAGGTAACAATTTGGCCTTGATACAAGATCGAATCTCTAAATTCTATACTTAACATTTTTTGTTTTTTATAATTCACAGATGTTATGCAAACTATAATGCACATGACATACAAGGTAAGAGTGATACACCACAGTGGGTACTTGATTACTTTTCTGTTTGGTTGGTGTTTATAGATTTTCATAGATTTTTTGTTGTTTGTAATGGTTTCATAGAATCTCAATAAAAAAAAAATGGTTTCTTAGCTTTCTGTCTAAACTATCACACAATTTCCAGTTGATATGGAACAGTAACAACTATCTGCTGTTTTTTTAACGAGTGATATAACTTTTAACTAAAGATAAAACAGATACAAAATTTTACTGTGGTAGGGCCACGAAAATCTTTGTTGCATGAATGGACAGTTTCATCCCAGAAAGTTTAGTTAGTTCAGTTCCATAAAAAAAAGTACCACCAGTGAAATGAAATGCTATAATTCTGTGTTCCATCTTGTTAGCAAGGTAATCGGGCAGGGCCCACTTAACACTACGGGTGTTGCAATTTAAATGGGCGGCGGTTAACACATAACATCAGGTGAACCGCCAGCTCACTTTCCATCTCCTAATAATAATACTTACCGCCAATGGTTTTCCACTCTTCTGCTGAGAGCTACTTTTTCTCCAATTTCAGTACACACAGGGTTATTCAAAGCAATCTTTGCCAAGTCAGCTTTAGTTGCAATGACTCTACCACCAGTACTCAAAGACCCAATGTTAACAAGCAACATCTGAAACAAAATAATATTTTAAATATAAAAATTTAATTTGTAATGTTAAACAACTTCATTTCACACAAAAAAAAATCACAAATCTAAGTAAGTTTTTTATTGTATTTCTAATGTATTTCAGCAAATTGTATTTCTTTCCCTTGCATGTACAATTATTGTAAGGAATAGTTTGATACAAACAAATATTACAATAAATGTGATTCTTTGAGACAATACAGAGATGTAATTAATTTGTCCTTAAGGCGTTGTACGCAGTGAATATTTAACTATTCGGGTGGTGAAGTATGAGGAAGCGGAGGAGGGGTAACCCCGCTTAGCGAGGCGCAGCGCGCGAGTTTCGGCGACGCGCCGCGTGACCAAGTCATTCATTATCTATTGTGTGTGTAGTGGTGGGACGTAGGATACTATCGACAGTATCATGGAAGGCTTTCGCAAATGTACACGGATGATCCCTATAATATCTTTTACAGACCATGACTGTATTTTACATTTATATTATTATAGGAATAATAATAAACAAACAAATATAAAGTATGAGAAAGCAATCAACAATTCTAGAAAAACTTCCTATTAATAATTTTAATTAAATTATTCGGAAACGGATAAGAATAGATTAAAAATTCATCTTAAGGTCAAATAAATTAATTAAGACAAATGGCATTTCTTACAACAAAACAATAAATAAACGAATTATTATTTATTTTGATTTATAGTAATAGCCCATAAAATTTTTAAGCAATTTCATAGTCTCCACGGCAGAAATTACGAATACGACTTTTTTATTACATATTTTCTTAAACTATGTATCTTTAATTTATCCTTTAAATGTTCAAGACTTACTACGTTATATAAATTCCTCAATAAACAACTAGATACTACAGTAATAAACGACAACAATTATAATCTAAAACAACTAGAATCGAAATTTTGTCCTCCCACAGACATCGTGTAGCCTATTGGTCCGTGCGCCATGGTAGGTAAACAATTACTGTGGTCCTAAGTTCAAACCTTATTGAGTGGTACATCTTTTTCAAATATAAATTTACTAATCAATTAATTATTTTATTTTTATTTCATAAAATGTGGAAAATAAACAAATTAATGTAAAAACTATAAAACATACATTTTTCGTGTTCGTAAAAGAAAAATTTTCGTTTTAGGGTATAAAATTAAATATTTTCATAAAACAATATATAAGATTTTTTGAGAAGTGACCAAATTTACACAGGAGGTTCAGACTCGGTAGTATAATCGTTTATTGAAATAAAAAACAAAGTTTTTTTTCCAAAAAAAAATGTCCCTAAAAACAGAATGTGTTGACAATGCGGTACGGTAGTCATTCATAAATACCTAAATATTACTGTGCACGAACTTGTGTGCGTGTTAGTTATGAATGATCGCGCGTAAAATAAATGAGTTGCTACACGCAACTCACAAATTTCAAACAAATCACGCGCTTTTTGAGATAAGTTCAAATGAATATAATTAATTACTTACGAGTGATTTTAAATATTTATCATTTTATATATAACATTCTTTTTGTCTAGTTTCTAATTAAAAAAATGGATACACTTAGAAAAGCCACCATGTATACATATTTTAATTTATATACATATTTTATGTATATACGTCTTTCTGACTAAATGTTACGACTTCAGCCTATTCTACGCAGATTCAGTCGCGGACAGCAACTAGTTATGTATAAAAATAAAAATTAACAAAAATTAAATGGTAAATAAAAAATACCTACAAAAAAAGAAAATCACCAAATATAGAACAAAGAAATGTAGGGATTTGAACCCAACCCCTATAGAATGATAGTCCACTGTATGTATAGGGCTGATAAACCTTATCAATCACAAGATAAGATATTGAAATTACGCTTAGTTGTTAATACATACAAATAATTTAAAATACGAAATATGTGAATATCTATTTTTTTAGTTTCGTGTTTTCGAAAGATCTAATAAAATTATAACTCTCAATAATAAATAAATACGGAACATATTTCGTAACGATGAGCGGAAGACGAGCGGCGTAGGTCCATCTAGCAACGTGCCTCAGCGCTCTCTGTTCAACATCTGGAATTGGAATCAATTCAAACACCGAAACAATGCCGCGGTGGCGCGGTGTTTTTGTCTTCGCGTTCGAATTAATTTTAATGAATTAAATTAATATTAACAAGAATCTTACTTCAATCAACAAATTGAGACAACAATCCTTGTTATTAAAATATTCTACATCACTGATATTAATTTCGTTTACATTTGTTGATGAATTACGTTCATTTTTGGATTTGAATTTCTAGAGGTAGTTTCATGATTTTTTTCTATCGAGAAAATATATCGAGAATATGTTTTGAAAACAATGTTCCATTAGAATGTAAGATCAAGATTAACAATTTTTTTTTTGCTGCTATAATAAATGTATAGGTTTTGTTAAAAAATCTTTTGAAAAACCTATTTTTACTGCATACAGCGCCTTAAGCAGACCTAAAAAGATCCAGTGCCATTTTTGCCATGCTTTCAGCCAAATGACCGCCTATATAGCAGATAACTATTATATTCATGTGATTAAACAAATCAGGGTAAGCTCTTTAATAATAATAATAATAATAATAAAATATCTTTATTCACATAGACGCTTGGGCGTTCTTATGAAACGTCGAAATTTTACAAGGAAATTAAAATGCTCGTAAGTTACCACCGGTTCGGAAAGCAGTGTCTGTTGAGAAGAAACCGGCAAGAAACTCAACAGTTGCTTTACAAGAAAAAGATATATTTTGGGCAACTAAATTACAATATGTTTTATTTGCGCTTAGTGGTGAAATTAGCCTTTTTTTATTACTGTAACCAATTAAACGAGCTTATTTTGTCGAAATGTGATATTGGATCACTAGTATTGCTATCTGCTATTTTTAAGGTGAACAATTTACTATGAATAAAGTAGGAATGAAATCGCGAGTCGTGTCTTTAACACAATTACAGTAAAAACAAAAGAATCGTGTGGTGTATTTGATTTTAGATTTCGGTCTGATAACTGCATAGAATACGCATTACGTTTTACATGTGTATTTTTACATCAGCATTCAATTGACAATTAAAATCAAGCATAAGTAAAATAACAGACTATAAATGTCCGAAAGCTAGCAAGTTTCATCTGTACAGAGGATATTAGGGAGTGCTTTTGTTATTATTTCGAAAATATGATTTCTTTGTGATGATTTCCTTCAACGCTAAGCATGTGATGTCAGTACTTAAAATTAACAATTTCATTGGCGCCGGGTTCGATTACATCAGGATTATCATCTCATGTCGGTCACGTATATTGATTTAAAAGCGAGAGCCTGTACGCTGTGCTGTCACGGCTCTCGCTTTTAAATCGCTCAATTGATTAAAAAGTTTCAAAATAGAAAATTATTTATCGATAAATTACATATATTCATAGAACCCATTGCTATGTTCTATAAAAAAATGTTCGTAGAGGTAATGTTTTGTTCCTGCATGAAAAGAAAATAAATCATACCTCATGCCGAGTTAGTTTCTGAACTTTAGCTGCTTTCTTATCTCCTTCTGTGCGGACCCCGAGAAGACGTTTCAATAAGTGATACGACACTTCCAGTTTAACGAATATACCTGGTAAAGTGCCAACTGCTCCAAGGACCTGTAATTTGTTTATCATCATATTACTTTTAACAACAACGAAATATATATATAATAATAACAACGAAACTCAATGCTGTACCTCAGAGGTAAATAGCATTCTGCAACAAAACACAAATTTTACACGAGAGGCAAAAATGCGTGAAGTTTAATCATTGAATTATTATTTATAATGATGTTATATACGATTGGATATTTTATTAATTAGGTGTCGTAGGACTTAATGCTTTATACAATTGTGTAGAATTTGTTCTTGGGATTTTAATGGTGTAAGGAAAATAATTTTGAAAAATGTGCCCCATAATGTGGTAGGCAATACATGTGAATTGGAGCCTCGGAGCTACTTTATTATACTAAAATTCTGCCCCCCCTTTCTAGCTATCTAAGTGCGAAATTAAAAAGCCCTGTGTAGGGACACATAATTATGTAGATTAGCGCATAAGCAATTGTGACGCATTGTCGCGCGTAGGCAGATTTATGCATTTATACAGGGAGAATTTTGAAAAAGTGCCCAAATTTACACAGAAAGTTCAGACTCGGTAGTATAATCGTTTATTGAAATAAAAACCAGCTTTTTTTTTTCAAAAAAATTGCCATACTATTCCCTAAAACACAGAACTTGTTGACAATGCGGTAGTGATTTATAAATAAGTTCAAATGAATATAATTAATTACTTTCGAGCAATTTTAAATATTTATCTTTTTTATATAACATTACTTATGTGTAGAATTTAATAAAAAAAAAACTTAGAAAAGCCTCCCTGTATACATAGCGTAGCGCCGTTGTAATGGAGATTACATTCAAAATACGAAGATTACCGCCGTGCCACTCTTCGAGCACTCACCAGACAATGGCGGAGTCGCCATGCACTCATTAACAGTTACGCATTAGAGTCGCAACATACAGAGTTACAGAGTGAGTCTTTTATTATCCTTCTGATATAGAGAGTCGCGATTATCATCATCATCATTTCAGCCTGTTTGAGTCCACTGCTGAACATAGGCTTCCCCCACAGACTGCCACGAAGCACGATCCCGACTTCCCGCACATTTGCACAGGTCGTCACTCCATCCAGTGGGGGGTCGGCCTACACTGCGATGGCCAGTACGAGGCTGCCACTCGAGAACCTTTCTTCCCCAACGTCGCGATTATGGTACACGAAAAATACATAACCCACTCAGCGTCAAACGGCGGCGAGGCAGTTGTCTGCGCCCGTGTTGCGTTTGCGTCCTTTTCAAGAGCAATAAAGAAAGGAGGCCGCTCACCTGTCCGACGAGGCGGTCGGCGCGGCAGAGCGTGGGCTCGATCTTGGTGCCGACGCCGATGAGGCCGCCCGGCACCGCGTACTGCAGCTCGTTCTGCTCCGCGAACAGCGACACGATCCGCGAGAAGATCGGCTGGCACGTGAGCCGCCCCTCCGCGTCCTTGCTCACCAGGCCCGGCCGCACCTGGTGGGCCGGGATCGTTTATCGATCGTTTCATTATTAATCGACGCCACCTACGGCCGGTATCAATAATTCGATCTACAGATAGACTTTTTTTTTTCTGGAGTTTTCACGTAATTAGTACGTCGCTGGTAACCAAATCTATCTGTAGATGGAGTGTTGAAATCGGCCGGTAGCGATACAAATGCGTTGCCACCTATTAATAGATTGGGACCCTCTACAACACTTTCACTTCACGGCGGTCTTCTGTGAGGTCGTGATGCATCCCCAAACGGCCATGTCCATTCGTGCAATAGCGAAGATTGCTGCGTGACCGTACCACAGTTAAAATCGCATGCCGAACCAAAGGCCGCGTACAGTTTAAAGCAAAAGGTGTGACGGGTACGTCGGAAAATTAGTTTATAGAGTCAACCGATTTTCTCTATAAAGGTTAATGAACATATCTATGGCATTTCAAACCTTGATACGATACCAACACCGTGATAAGTATATAAGCCCGAGGTATAAATTCACTAAATGTGGATATAGCAGATAAACTTTCTGCCACATATAACGTGAGTATAAATTCAAAAAGAAAACCGCTAAAGACTTTTTTGCAATGCTAAACATATTGGGTATCGGCCAACTCTATATTATATGACTAATTACTGTGATAGCGTAACAAATAACAACTTCATTGGTGCCGGCACCGGGTTTGAACTTTGTATTGCATAGGTTGTTCATGTGTATTGTATTAATAGCGTGCGACCGCACAATGAGCAATGACGGCTCTTGTGGTATTCGGGGTCACAGTGTACCTCAATTTCCATTCCAACGGTGAGCACGCCCTGCAGAATGGAACCACCGGCCACACCACCCCTCAGGTCGTCCACTTCGCAACCTGGCTTGTTCACGTCGAACGAACGGATCACAATCATCCTGGGCGGCGACGTGAAATCCCTCAGCGGCACCGGGATCTTCTTCGTTATGTACTCGCATAGGACCTGCGCGGGGAGAGTTAAAATATCACTTATTTTGGAACCGCGTATGACAGGAATAACGCTCTACGAAACTGAAATCAGCCGATTGTCTCTTTACAAAGTCCGGTGTGCAATATTTATCGCCGGGTCTTGTAATTTTTTATAAACATAAACAAAATATCAATCAGTCCGATTACCTCGATGTTATATTTCAATTGAGCGGATATCGGAATAATGGGCGATCCCTCCGCGACGGTGCCCTGAACGAACTTCACGATATGTTCGTGTTGCTCCTTCGCCTGACCCTCCTTTACAAGATCTATCTTGTTCTGGAGGATGAGTATATGTTTCAGTTTCATAATCTCGATGGCGGCCAAGTGTTCGCTGGTCTGTGGCTGGGGGCACGACTCGTTGCCTGCGAAAAAGATCGAGGACGGTGTGCTATATTATTCTTACGGTTTTATATGATAATATTGTGTGTATTCGATGATTGATATTGATTTCATTTCATTAGTGTGATTATCAATTTATGGAAAACAACGCCAAAATTTATAAATTATGAATCTAAAATTGAAAAATTGAATAATATAAAAAAAAATAATTACTTGATTTACAGATGTTTTATCCGAAAACTGTACTAGGGAACGACAAATTGTAACAAACGAAACCAATCGGCGTTTTGGCGCGAGGATTACTTCTGATGTTTTATTTACCTATTTATTTATTTTTCTACATCAACCGGGTGAACACTATTTTTTATACGTTAATTACATGCTTGGTGAGTGCCATCTCAATTACTGGGTGCAAAGTTGAAAGGTTCCGCAATATGCGTGCGTGACGCGACAACCTCGACACGGCGTGCGACAGAAATGCCACTCACCGGCGATTAGGAGGGAGGCGTAGTTATCGTAACAGGTAAATATAACAGGTATCTCGAGATAAGATTTAACCTGTTACGAACAAACTTAAATAAGAGTTCTTGTTCCACACAAATTGCTCCTTAACACGCTGTTACAAGCTTTTCTTCATTCATCCTTACGACTGTTACTGTAGTTAAAAAAAGATAAAGACTGTTACACCTTGTCACTTTGTTTTTTTGCATCGGTCTTATAGCTTTGTTGGGAAGAGAAGTATGGTCGTTACCATAGAGTAACATACTGTAACAACTGTTACTATGGTAACATTGACAAAAATTGTCACAACACAGTATGAAATAACAGGCTGTTGTTTTGTAACAGGTATTTGTCACTGTTACTGTTAAGGATCAGTAACAGGCGTAACAGGTACTCGAATTAACCTAGTGCAGCTCACTCTTACCGGCGATTAGGAGCAGGGCCGCGTCCATCACGGCGGCTCCGTTGAGCATGGTGGCCATGAGGATGTCGTGGCCGGGACAGTCCACGAAGCTCACGTGGCGCACGAGCTGGAAGCGGCCGGTGCACGCTGGCCTGAGGCACGGGAAGTTGTCGTCCTTCGACGAGCCGCCCGATATGTAGCTGGTGGGGCGCGGGCACTTGGGGTTGTCGCATTTGTAGATTTTCGCGTTCGCGTAGCCTGGAAGCAACGTGTAGGGTAAACGGCTCTTACATTGCTTTAGTCAGTCGCGTCACAGTATACCAGTACAGGGAAGAACAAGTGATGACTGCTCAGCTGTTATTACTGATGCTTAGAGTATAACGCTAAGTTAAAAGAATTCAAGAGATGTATTACGTTGTATCCTTGTCATTTTTTTGTAGTGACTGGCAAATAACTTGCAACAAATAGCAATATTGGAGAGAATGGTTTGCTCACGCCTACTTTCGTGCAACCAATCGGATTCAAGACGTTGCTAGTCACTATATGTATCATCATAACATATAATAAAAAGCTTGAAGATTATTCCAATCAAATGCAACAGTTATATGTTTAATTTGTTCTTCCAATATGCCGCATCAATGAAATAAATATTACTTTAATGTAATATATTGCTCATGTAAGGTAGTAAAAGACTGGATTTGTAATTGTATTTTATTACTAAATTAAAGCAATATACATCTTAATATTACCCTTAAATAAACTTAAGTATTTTTTATTTGTTCTATTCCAGAAATTTATCGTTAGCATGAAAAACCTGCAAAAGTAGGTACATTAATTTACTAATTAATACCAAATAAACAAAAAAGCGTCTTATAAAGTCTTCAAACTTATCAGGTGGTTTTGTAATCTTATATTCAAAGACAGATCTCTATATCAATAATGTTTATAATTAGTATTCATTTTGTGTTAAAAGATATATAATAATTTTAAGAGATGGTTAGATACTTATTAAACAAATGTGAGTCCAATAAACTTATACAAAGAATTAGTTTCATATGTGAAGCATAACTAAGCTGACAACTAAATCTTACTAAACACTGCAATAGAAACAGAAAATGTTAATGTATTAGAAAAATACTTTAATCTTTAAGGTTCATTCACATTTTAATCATTACACAATTCCCATTTATCTCATTATTCAACTTCACATGCAAAATCTGATAATTAAACTAAGTAATAAAATTTGAGGAAAATCAAATGAGAAATTGAAATATATTGTAAGATGTTCACATTAACACATTGTACAAAGAACACAGAGCTAATAATACACACACTGAAAGTGCATCATAAAAAGTATTAACTATATTTTCAATAAAGTCATAATAAAATCATCAAAAACATCTACACATAACACAGAAAGGTTGTTTAAGTCTACAACAAAATTTTATTTATAAATCAAGAAATAAAAGATTGAAAGTTCTTTTGAAAGAGGTAAATTAATACATAATTAAAAGGAAAATATTCTATAACTATACGGAAGGTACAGTAATAGAATGTTTTCCTTTAAGTTATAATAAAAATACTACAGTAATGGATTTACAATTTTCACATTTACAATCATGTCTGCTTAAAACATTAGAATTCAGGCATTATTGGTCAAAGACTATGCTTCAAAATGCAATAAGCACTTTCTTAAAAGTGTAATTTCAAGTTACAAGCAGAACATGTCTTTAGAAATAGTGTATTTGAGTGATTAGCTAGATTTCTTTTAAAATTTCTGTAATAGCTTCAAAACATATATCAATAAGTAGCATAATTGATGTAGCTATTATTTTAATAAACCAGTTTGTGATGAAATTTTTATGAAAATTATAAAGAGATCTATTAGTTCATGTCTCAGAAATTATAAGCTGCGCCAAGCCTGGCCTTTGACTGGTAATATGAAAATCTAATATTCTTAATATTCATATACAAAAAATCTATAACAAAAAGCTTAGAAAAAAATTGGACACAATAGCAACTTAGAGTGAAAATACTGTACTTAAACATAAGTATGCTAAAATATGCAGCATACAAGCACTACACTATACATTGGCGAATGTAAAGTGCCCTGATGTTAACTTCATACCTGGTATAAAGTTTAGCACGACCGATAATTTGTGGACTACTAAATTTAGTACCTACATACAACAAATCCAAAAGATCATGAAAATATATTTCCCAATAAAGCATTTAACTTTTACTTAATGAATGGCTTTATAATTGTTTGAATAGTAAACTAGTATTCTTAGTACAAGTATCAAGGCACTACTTTTTAAGACAATTATTCATTTAGGCTCCAACACTTGATACCAATAAACAGTCATACAGTCACAGTCAATGGAATTTCTATCATGATAAAATTAAGAATAGAATAACAGTCATAAAAAAGACATCTTGAATTGTAATATGTATACCAATATAAGCTTTTCCAAACAAACTTATTTAAATACTTAACACATGTATTTACAACAGATTATCAACAATTCAAAACAGATACTTTCTACACTTTAATGCACCACATTTACATTCAGTATTTTTTAGTGATGTTTTATTAATTTGCTGTTGTTCAAACCTTGATTTCGTTGGTGAACCAGGAGAGTGTGCTACACTGGCCTCTGCAGTACTTGGACTGTCCCTGTCTTCTTTTAAAATAACTCCATTCACTTGTGCTCCATCATCAACCAAACAATGTATGGTGTTACTTAATTCAAGCTCGTCACTTTCTGATGATTTTTGTAAATAATCAAAACATATCTCTTCCCCTGCTTCGATATCTCGTGTTGCAAATAAGGCTAACATTGGAAGATTGGGATCAAGACAATCTGCCCATACAGCCCATACACCTAAATTAGGATCACAGGAGTGGTTAATGAAATGAGAGACATTTCCTAAATGTGCTGCATCTACCACATATGGATTTTCAACTGAATTAAAATCTAGATCAAACAAGTAAGTCAATCCATTTGCGTCATATTCTCTGCCTCTTTTTTCTGCTTCTTCAAATGTTATAACTTCACCTACATATTGACACAAAAACTGTCCCTGTTTTATTTTTTGTTCTGTTCGAACACCCCAACCACAACCATTTGATGTACGAAAAATTGTAAGTTTTACATTCCTTCCCCGCTGAACAACACGATTGTTGCAATCTATGGTACATTTACAAGCTTTATTGCATTCATAAATTGGTGTTCCTGAAGCTACTCGTAATCTTTTATTGTATGTGTATGCAAAAATTCCACCTTGCATCCCACAACAAGATTTTGAACGACAATTACATGAAGTACAGTCACACCCAATTGGTGGATTTTCAGGTATTACAACTCCTACACCAGGTATGGAATGGTTTATATAAGTAAAACATTCTGGCGGACCTGCAAAATCAACTTCATTTTCTACATTTAACCTTTTACAGTCATCCACTTGGTTCAGATGCTCCTCCCATTCTCGTAGAGCCATAAGCTGACTACATCTTCTTCTGGCTGTAGCATATAACTGTAGCAAGTTTCTGGTATCTAGGACTAATTTCGTAGCATGACATTCATCACATTCTTCTAACATTATCATAGACAGCAATTTTAAAGTAATTTTCTCTCTTAATTTTGATATAGAAAATTCCTCAGCCTCATTTATTCTTTTCAAAAGATTTTCTTCAGATAATAAATTGTTAAATGAAATTTCTTCTTTAAGCTTTTCAATAGCTTGACAATGTTGTAGTTCCTTATTCAGTAAGAATTTCCTAAAAATAGTTGGGCAATTATCCAAGTGTTCAATAGGCTCCCATGTATTTTCACTCTCAGGCCATCCTTTCCACTTTACAAAAAAATACTCATTTCCAGATTGAAATTTAAAATCAACAATATTCTCTATAATGAATTCTTCAGCTTTGTGCTTATCTTTCTTTTGTTTTTTCAGAGGTATATCAGTACATGGATCTGGATCCGGAGACATAGCTCTTTTTCGGGACCTTCTTACTTTCTCATAAAATAAATTTTCACTCTTCTCATCGGCCATATCACGATAAATTCTTATAAATGTGTCCGACAGGCGCTCTGCAACATACCATGTGATTTAATTAATATCTGACTTAAAAAATTATTCTTTTAATACAACTTTAGAAAATAAATATGCAATGGTCAAAGTAGTATGACTATTCACATGGTACATTACAAAGGTCTGTCCAAATTCTAGCATAATGTATTTACATAAACTACATTTATAAGAAATATCCCAGCAGCAATTAAGTTTTTATTGTTAGTAGTGTTCATAATATTATAGGAATAAGTTTGGAATATTTAATGTTAAATTTTTTTAAACAAGAGAATATTAAATTGGAACTACTAAACTGTAGTTAAAAGATATCTCTAAAGAAATTCACAATAATATGTTATCCAAAAACCTCAAATTTGTGATCTAAAGGATCAACCTGTAATCAAAAATATATATACATTAAATCTTATTAATGTTATACATTATTACTTACCCAACTTTATAGTAATGTTTCTTTCGAGCTCGTTTTTGGAATCTTACAGTTTGGACGCCTGATATGGCCTTTACCACTGTTGATTTTCCGTGAGCTACATGTCCAATAGTACCGATATTGATAGTCGCTTGCCTTGATATGACTTCAGGGGACAAAGCTGACAGCTTCGTTACATCCTTAAAAATACAACGTAAAATAATGAAAACCTTAATTACTATAACATTAAAGTTCTATGTTGTAGGTTATGTGACACTGAAACTGAAAACACAAATACAAAGTTTAGAACTCTTAAAGTTTTAGAATTAAGTTACAAATAACATAGTTCATAGGTTATAAATAGATAATTTTTCACTCACAAGTTTAGATAAATCTTGCTGATGCAAGTTTGATTGTGCACTTCGGCCCTCACTTGCAGCCATATTTATGTTCTGAACACGACCCTAAATACGATTCCGCACGCTTAGAATAAAATTTATGGATACAACTTCATTCGATTATGTTATAAAGCTAATGAAAAATATCTGTAATTAGCTGACTGAGCCTATAAAATATCCACTATTCGTGGCGTGGACGAATTCGAATATAGTCAATACAGTTTCTTTTTTTTTTAACATCAGTGATGTACAGTTTGTAAAGTCGTCATCACACCACTACTGATACTGACTACACGATTTTTTTTTAGTACAGTTTGCTATTAGCCAGACTTGAAAACGAAAACTGTTAGATAAACTTTGCGGCTTATACTTAATGTCATTTTAATTGTTAAGTTTTGTAGATAATTGAACAAAAATTTTTGGCCCTACGCGATTCAAATCTGCATCTTCTGGCTTCAAGACCAGAAGCATTACGGTCGACGCGAAGCGGCCGATTACCTCACGGTGCGAAAAATTTAAGACCAAATTAATAAAAATTTTTGGATTCATTGAATTTTAAGAGCAATTTAATTACATTTCTAGAATCCTAGACATTCTTCAATGATGACATCTTACGGTACGTACAGTAAAGAGGAATTTGATTATAACACCGGATAGTCGGTCACCAGCCACAATGATTATTAGAGCTTCATAAAAAAAACTTCAAGTTATTCAAACTCATAAAACATGTGGGAGGCCAAACTGCGTCGAGACTACCTTAGCGTGCAACAGGTACACATCATCAAACCTCTAGCTATTTTCCTTTCATTAATTTCTCAGTTTCTAGTACTAAGTTAAAAATTTGCTAGTTAGTCTACTAACAATGGTGTTCCTGTTTTTAGGGCATCATTCATTATTTAGCAAGTTTTAGCTTATGGATATGTCTCATTATCTCACATTTATTGGTTCTAGTCCTGGTCCTAGTTGTCCTATTTATGTTCTCTCACTTTTGTCTTCTTCTTCTTATATTGTGCCCTGTTGTTTTTATGAATGTCCTGAGTAGCTTGTTCTATTATGTCTTTTCTGTCTCTTGATTCTCTTTTTTTGTTATTTAGTCCTTGCATGGTTACACATGAGTTGACAATTGTTTAAAAGCTCTCTCTCTTTGCACTGCGAAATCTTAACACATTTCTTTCTACATGTATTATTATTATTTATAATTTTATGTTTTATTAAAAATTAAACTACCGTATTTCTCCGCAATAACCGAAATTTCTATCAGTCGTTCTGATTTTGACACCGCAACACTGTAACGTCACTGTCATTTTGTCGATTTAACTAAGCACAAAATCTGTCCGACTATCGGCAACCGATCGTTCGAGGTTTTGAAGAACATCTAAATTGGCATTAATTTTGGATACCATCATGTCTTTAGCAAAAACTAATATGCTCGTAATTGTTTCTCCGTAATTAACATATGAGTATTATATTTGTGAAAAATAATTACATATTACGTAATATCTTTCTCAGGTACGGTCCCTTAGCACATCAGCCTCAACCGCTCAAATGATAAAGCCTCCAGTCCAAATTTTTGGTTTGGACGGCAGGTATGCCTCGGCTTTATATTCGGCGGCTTCGAAAAACAAGGCTCTGGATAACGTTGAAAAAGAGTTGTCTCAGTTCCAACAGTCAATTAAAACTGATGCAAAACTGAAGGAATTTCTCATTAATCCAACCTTAAAGAGGTCTTTAAAAGTTGAAGCTTTGAAACATGTTGCATCCAAGGTTTGTTTTCTTGTAATAATCTGTGCCAAATGATAATAATAATAAAAACATTTAAATAAAAGTAAAAATTACAGATTAACATGTCGCCAGCGACGGGCAACTTATTGGGTCTTCTAGCTGAAAATGGACGTCTTAGTAATTTAGAAGGAGTCATTAACGCATTCAAAATAATGATGGCTGCTCACCGGGGTGAGGTTACATGTGAGGTAATCACAGCTAAGCCTCTTGACCAAGCTCAAAGACAAAATTTGGAAGCTGCTTTAAAGGTAATTTAGAAGTTGTGCCTGAGAATTTAATCAGGTAAAAATTTCTGGGTGTTTTCTGCTCTGTGTGGGTTTTTAAATAAAAAAAAATAATCTTCGCCCACTGCCTATATCATGTTGGCAGTACTGTGTAATCAGTTGGAGTAAAACGGTGAACTTTCTTAGTGAAAATAATGTTTTAAATATTTTTTTTTCTCAAAAACTATAAGCGACCGCCAAATTCTGCTTGTTGATTATTTCATTAGTGATTTTTCTTTACCAAATTTTTTTTTATCGTCGAAAGACACCAGGAAACTAATGTAAAGAAATATTTTTATTTGCTCTAATAATATATTATAAGAACAATGAGGTGCTTTTTGCTTCCTTAATGCAAATTCTATTTTAGTCATGTATCAATTTATTCTAAAATTCAATAATAAATTGGAAGATAATGAAATTCAATTAAATCAAATATAAGCTGCTCATGTATAGTGCCTGTTTGAACAGGGATATGTTCCTCCCTGCTTAAAGATAAGACAAGACGTCATGAAATTGACATATTTTTATGAGTTATATGCAACCTTATTGGTGTTGCATTTAACTGCATATACCTATTTTCTTATCTATATATATAAAAATGAATCCCTATTTCCCTTGGTCACGCCATCACGCGTGAACGGCTGGAGCGATTTAACTTTTTTTTCATTGTGTTTGTTATTATCATCAGGTTCTTATGAAAGAAAAAATTTTAAAAATTGCCTAAAAAAGTCTAAAAACAACACTTCTATATTTCTGTACAAAAGATTCGTAATAATACTTATAAGTCAATTTGAACTTACCATACCATAAAGTTTAAGTGTTAGTGGAGGGGTTCAGGGAAGGCAAAACAAGGGACTGTGGTAAAATGTCACTTGAAATGTAAACATCTTTTGATGTGCATCACTACATAGTATAAAACAAAGTTGTCCTGCTGTCTGTCTGTCCCTATGTAGGCTTAGATCTTTAAAACTACACAACGGATCTTGATGCGGTTTTTTTACCAGATAGAGTTATTCAAGAGGAAGGTTCATATATATATATCTGTTTATTGGCGACCATCTACAACACATTACTCTACAGTTGCTCCTTTCCGGACGACTGGAAAGACGCCACGGTAATCGGCATTCGCAAGCCGAATAAACCCGTTAATCAGCCCTCCAACTTCCAACGGCCTTCTGCCGGCGGAACAATTCGGCTTTCGAGCTTGTCATTCCTGTCCCGACCAATTATACCGCCTAACGGAACACGCCCTGAGAGGCCTAAATCATCCGAAACATATTAGCACGGGGGCTCTTTTCTTCGATGTCCAAAATCTCGCGCTTTTCGTGGATGATACGGCGCTCTTTTATACAGATAAACATCTCAATCAACTCACTTCTCGTCTCCAAAGCGTCGCCGACCACCTGGGCGATTGGTTCCGCAAATGGAGAATAGAAGTAAATCCCGAAAAGAGTGGCGATTCACTTCACACGAAGTACTTACCCGTCACATCTTTATAAAGGCCCTCGCCAATGCAGAAAGTTGGGGCAAATATCCCTTTATGGCCAACCGCTCCCCTGGGAGAAAAAGGTCAAATACTTAGGAGTCACTTTCGACTTGCGTATGTCATTAATAACATTCGTAATAGAGCCGCGCTCATATCCGGCCGGCTACACAATTTAATCTCGCTTGTACAAGCTGCAAATAGTACAAAATAAGTTCATCCGCCGCGCAACCGGTGCGCAGTGGTATCAACGCAACGTCGACCTGCACAGCGATTGCAGACTCGCAACGATTCGCGAATATTTTAAAGATCTGACCAAACGGTGGTAAGATTACAAATTACCAACCCGACACAAACGCGAACGTCAACAAGCGTCGCCCGCGAAACGTCCTCATCGACCCGGTCTAGGAAGGCGACTTAGATACGCCGTACCCATCGTCGGTGGTCCCGCCGGATAACACTACACCCACAGCTAGTGTTACAACAAACACAATAGTTAACCCTCGCCTCCGAGCACGGCGAGATCAACACAACGTGTACTCTAGGTACACCCGCGTTCCAGAGCGGTTCTCACTGCCCCCAGCCACTGATTAGCTATAAACAGTCGACGGCCATCGGAGTTCCGGTCCGAACCACAACCTCAATGGCCCTTAGATGACATACCATAGGTAAACCCTAAGGTCCTACCCACAACGGAGGGCCCAAACCCGTGGGTTCAGGCTAGCCCACCAGTTCTGGGTCAAATGAAGCTTTAATAGTCTCAGGACTGAATGCACAGACATCAGTTAATACAAGATACAGGATACTTAAATAGCATATCCAATTCCTATAGGTATTAAACAATAAAAATTCAAGTGTTTGGCTTATCAAAACATGTCACTTATTAAACAATTGGGATAATTTTACTTTAATTTTATGCTCGACACATGATTTTATTATACTTATTAAAAAATTAATATTTTTAAGTTCAGCAATTTTGTAACTGTTTTATTACTAATTAATTCCTTTTTTGATTTCAGAAATTCTTGAAGGGCAAGGAGACTCTTCAACTTACTGCAAAAGTTGATTCTTCTCTCATTGGTGGTATGATTGTATCTATTGGAGACAAATATGTAGACATGAGTGTGGCCAGCAAAGTTAAAAAATATACAGAGTTAATTAGTGCGGCTGTCTAAACAAAAAAAGATGCAATAATCAGTAAAAGCTATGTAGTGGATATTTATGGTGTTTCATTATGTATTTGTTTAGTATACATTTGAAATTATCTGCAATTAAATATGTTCTGAAAGAATTTGGTGTTTTACTGCTATTAATATGAAAATACAATAGTTGCACAATTAATATATCTTCTCATCATCATTTAAGCCTGTTAGAGTCTGTTGCTGAACACAGCCCTCCACCACAGACTACAACAAAGTGTAATCTTGAAATACATGCATCCATTGACTTCCCAAATTCTTTAATTTCTTCTATTTAAAAAATATTATTAATACTTGCAATTTATTAAAAAGTGGCTAAACCACCCAGCTTTACTGTGGCATTTTTATTTTGTTTAGTCAATAGCTAGCTGAGGACAAATTTCAATCTGATAGTTTTTGAGATTTGTGGACATCAACATATGGAAGCAAAATTCTTTTATATAAAGATACCTATATGGTATTATGGCTGCCCATTGCTCATAAGGGGAATGGTTTTATGAATTGGGAAAACCTTTGGGACAGTGCAGGAAAATCTTGAAGCTTTGATGCACTGTCTTAAAAAAAACCATTGTCTAGCAGTGGCTAGTTGGCTCATTTGGTGTATAAATTAAAATCGAATGATATAAGAATATATCTATATATACAGCGTGTCGTTACCAACGCGACAATAAATGAACACACATATAGAGGATAAATTTTTAAAATTGTATTAAACATTTACATTCTTCAAACATCAATATTTACAGAGTTATTAAATTTTCCAAAACAAACAATTTTAGAACACCCTTACGTATAAAACTGTAACGTAAAGTTCATTTGTAAAGGTCACAAAGGATATGAATGGGTTGAATGAATTTAAAAGAGACAAAACATACTGTTAGAAGGAGAGGCTTGTAATGCGACGCTGTGGCGCTAGTTGTATAGGATGTTACAAATTTTGTTTCTTTTTTACTTAATTAGTTTGTTTGAAAAATATTTTTTTTTAATTATGGATTTTGTTTAACGTTAATATTTTTTTATGATTATTGGCAAGTAGTGTTAGACGTGTGTTCATTTATTGTCGCGATGGTAACGACACGCTGTATGTATATGAAAGACATTTTTATGTATATAAAAATAAGTAGTGTGCCTAGCACTATTATAACCATAAGTCAGTCTTCATGATTAAATGTGGGTTTAGCAGCACTAACTATTGATACTGTCAGGATTTGCGCCCTGACGCTTTAGCCACTAAGCCAAATGGCTGGTTGCTACACCGACGAAAATCTCAACAACTTTCATCTACATCACATCCATTGTTATATCCTTTCCAGCATACACACAATTTCAAATATCATTTAAAATGATAATTCGAATGAGAGATGTCACCACAATTTTTACAAATTTAAATTCCCACAGCGGCGAATAACTTAACCTACTTTTTCTATAAATATTTAAGTTTAATATTTAGTGCAGAGATTAGCACTATAAAAATTTTAATTTGATAGTAATTTTGTTAGAATACTATTCTTACCTAAATGCTAATGCCCAATGACTTGGTGGTGCAGATGCTAAGTCATTAGGTTTCAGCGCTGGTGTTGTGCATATAATTCCTATATGGAGAAAAATCTAGCCACTACCATTAACAACATGATTCATGCTGTGCCCATTTCACTCATGTCATGATAAAGGTAGGAGAAAGAACTACTAATCATAAATGCTTTTAAGTAATAAAGTGGTAAAAAGTTAACATTAAAAATGTGCCTTTGACTAAAATTTTCCCATTTCAAATTTTTCCCATTTTTAAACTTTTAATCATAACACATAGGTAAATTAAGTAAAATTTTCATTACATTAAATAATGTATTTAATTTAATATATTTTTAAAAATCACAATGGTATTAAACTAAGTTGTTTACCTCATAACAGTTAAAAATAAGTTATTATACGGAGTTAGTTTAGCAACCAATGACTACTTGAGCAAAGTGGGCGAAAATTTACATTGGGTCCACTTATGTCATTTGTGCAAACAATCTCATTGGCTTGTACAGTCAATATTCTCAACACATAAAATCTTATAAACACTTGTGTACAGTTAAATGCACTTTTAGACTAAATTTTCAGTTAATTTATTAGTGTCTTGTAGCATATATGGGCAGCAAGGCACTAATAAATTGTATTATATTTATAGTAGACTGTTTTTAATAAAACAATATGTAATTAATGGAACAAAAATTTAATGTGCACTCTGCAAAACAAAAAAGTACTTACTTAAGTAACAAAATATTCCCAAAGTAACACTATGTTTATATATTTGAGATTTAACAAGAATATTTTTGAGATCATTGCATGTGCCTGAGATCATTTGTACACTGTCACTGAGAATAATAATTCTGAGTTTATCCCTCTGTTGGAGCAGCTTCTCCTTTCAGAAGTGCATTTTCTGCTTCTAATTCAGCTATACGGGCTTTAGCAGCTTCAAGTTCGTTATCTCCGCCATCAGTACCTAAATGTTTACGGACATATTCAAGAGCATCTTCAGGTTTATCTGGTTCTTCATACAAACTCACCAAAACTTTCGTCAGTGCGTCCATTACACCAGCTCTTTCCAAATATCGTCTAAACTCTTCTCTTTTTGAGTCAATAGGCTAGAAATAAAATAACTTAAGTGTTATGGTATGTAACCCTTATTTTAAATAAATACTAACTTAGATACGTAATAAAGGACTAAATCAAACATCTCACTTACTTTATAAGAAGACATTATTGTTTAAAAAATATTATGAAATGTGTCAAATTTATTATTATTCGAAGATATTTTATATTATTGTTGAGATTTGTATTTAATTATTTAAATTTGCAACGTTAAATCGCATCAAGTTTTGACATTAAAACTTTGACAGTCTTATTTTTCTTTAGCATGTATCAGGTACCTAGATATTAAATTAATGTGCCTATTATTTTTCGTACTATGAGGTGAGTGTGATTATCACTTGTATTTTTTAAATTATTATTTTTTGAAATATTCAAATTATGTTTAGGTTTATATTCAGTTCAATTTCGGTTTTTCAGGTTTGTCAAAATCTATAATTATTAATTAGTAAGCGGTTAACATACTCTGTTTAAAGGATATCTTGCCAATACACACTGCGTTTTAGCGAAAATTGAGCGAAAAGAAGGTAAATTTTTAATCAGACTACCCGATTGTGGCAATGCGGTCCAATAGAAAAAGAACACCGAATTCCTTACAGCTTCAAGCAATAATTATAGCCTACGTCACGTAAGAAAAGCTAGATTAAGGGGGAGCCGCCTGGATCTACAGAGCGTTGCGCGTGACTGCTGAACTTAACCACTTACTAGTAGCTAACCTTATTAATAAAAGTTTCTCTATTATCTAATTCCCTTTTTAACATGTTACAACTTACAAAATCTCCTGCTTTCGTTGTAATAACTTTTAGCAATTAATCTTCTACTGTATAAACTCTTATATTGTTTCAGATTGGTTCCAATGTTATCAAGATCTGAGCAATTCGAAATTATTTGTATGCTGGAAAGGATATACCGCCATTGCTTCAAATGCTAAATAACAATGTAGATAAAAGACTGTGGCGACTCATTTGCTACTGTGTAGCACCGCTCTTATCTTTTACACCCTTACTCTCATCGGTCTAGCATTACCCTATTATTGACAAATTTCTATAGCAACGAGAGACAATAAAAGATTATGTTTTTCTCAACACGGCTTGTTCTTTGTACTGCATCTTAATTATTCCCTCCTGCCGGCTCCCAAACTGGTGACCCCGACGTGATGTGATAAATATGCGCAACATCGGAGCCCACGTCGCTACGCTCTGCAGTTTCGCTCGGAAACAACAATTTCCGCGATAATCGAGGTTTGTCCCATTCTGCGACGCCGCCTAGGTACGCTTCCTTCTTTTTGTTTTTCCCTCCGTGCAGAGAAGTCTGCTAGGGAGACTAGAAAAGCCACCTGCAAGTGAGACTATGGTATAGCCTGCGAGGGAGATTGTACAGAACAGCCATGAAGCTATAATCGCAACAACTGTAAACGCATCTACGATAATCTACATCGCTATTGGACTCGTATTTTGTCCATTCTATGTAGCGCTGAGCCGGCATTTTTCGCATCGAGGCCGGCCATTTTTCTTTCTCTACCGGAGCTACGTCATCTTTGACGAGGAGGAAGTTGAAAAGCGCGCCACGCGCGGCAATCACCCGCAACATTGTGTCAGGTGACTAACAGCTCTCCACTGATACTTCGCGACGGATGCTGCGTTTACACTCGTTCAAGTGAAAGTTTAGTGCTATTTTACACTTAAGATAGTATCATTTTATGTTGTATTTAGACTTACTTTACTTTTCTACCAATTTTATTATTACGTTTGCTGCGCAATACTGAAATTGTTTCGTTTGTGTATTTACCGATTTGTTCCACTGCGTGTATGTGTAAAGCGTTTTTGCGATTTGACCGTTTCTGATTTTACCTTTAAACCATGGCGAGTCAAGGAGAATCTAACGTTTTAGAGGGCCACGTTGGCAACGAGGGTGATGCTACTGCACTAGTCGGTGGCAGTCCCATTTACGTAAACAGGGTCGCAATTAGGACCCCGCCTTTTAGCAAGGATCGGCCCGCATTGTGGTTTGCTAGCCTAGAGGCGCAGTTCCACATTAACCAAATTACCGTCGAAATGACGAAGTTTCATTTCGCCGTGGCGCATTTAGATACCGAGTGTACGAAGGAGGTCGAAGATATTATCACACATCCTCCCGAGTTGCAACCATACACAACTTTAAAAAGCGCAATCATATCTAGATTCTCCGATTCCTTCGAGGAGAAGGTGCGGCGCTTACTAGAAAAGGAACAGTTAGGTGACCGCAAGCCATCTTCGTTCATGCGACACTTGAAGAGTCTGGCTGGGCAATCGTTCCCCGCTGACTTGCTGCGATCAATTTGGGCCAATCGGCTTCCCCGGCAG